CATACCTAACAAACAATGCTAACAAGAGAGATTCTTATATTTATCAAGGTCATTTGCTAAGAGAAATATATAGTTAGGAAGATAGATCAAAGAGCGAGGGATGGGAAGGCAAGCATGTGTGAGCCTCTATGGAATAAAATTTATATATTAATGATCCTGTGGAGGGTGAATGCTTAGCAGACATTTTTAAGAATCTCAAAGTTAATAAGTTAAAGATTTGAGGAAACTAGCTTTGACTTGTTTTGGTGAGAATAGTAACATCAAAGTGAGTGCTAAATGAATCCTTTTCATAATAATAATAATAATAAACCCTGTAAATACGAATCAGAAAAATGCTTCTAACAGTAGCTGAGGACTGTGGGACATAAGTATACTAATAACATGCCTTCTTGAGAGAGTCATTTTCATGACTTCCATTTCAAGCTACTGTGACCATGACAACCATGCAACAGGAATTCTGTAACAACCCGAGCAAGGCTAGTTTAAAGGTTTTTAACTCACAATGCATGATTGGACTTCTTGAAAATGTATGCAAATGTCATATATGTAAATGTGAACTTTTCTGAAGAAAGTATCCTTGGTGTTCATCGAATTTTCACAGAGATTCATGCCAAAGAAAAGACTAGGAACCACTGGGCTAGATAGTGATGGCCCACTTTTTCTACTCCTCCTACTCAGTAAAGCTGCAGATCTCCAATTATTTTGTAACTAAAGAGATAGCATGTGTAAGTTCAAACAAGTTGTGGAAACCAGGTTTCTGAGTTAATAAATCATAAGGATGCCTGTAATAATGTGGCAAATAGTGGGAAGGAGGGCAGAAAGAATCCAGCACTGTAAAATGAAGACTGCTGCAATAGGCAGGGAAGAAAAGGTCATTATATTGATATTTTGACTCAAACAAATTCACAGGTGGATTTCACTTTTTAGGTCATACCTATGCCATGCCAGTAGGTTCTGAATGACTTTCCAAACCCTAAATATAAGCTGGTAGGTATGGACATATGTACATATGTACTTATTTTAACTGTGACCTAAGTAAAGCTCAGTTATGAAGAAGTTTGAAAACATCTGCAAGAGCAACTCTAAATGGCTCCATGTTTTCTTCTTGTCTGCACTGTTTCTTTTTCCATAGCAGTCCAGATTTAGCCATAATTTCTTTTGATCCCTGCCCTAGATCAATGAAAATCAATCACATACATTTAGGATTGGAAAGCAGTTTAAAAGGTCATCTTGTCCATTACAGAAAAGGCAAATGGAAATATATGTACAATATATCTAGCAATATAGGCACTATTCATATACAAATTATTCTAGACAGAGAAAATCACCTGTTTACCTATCAAGCGAGAATTCATACTTCTGTTGGTTTCACCTTCTTTGTCTCACAACTACCACAGTCAACATGACCTTTTTAAACATAAATGCCACCTGATATACTTTAAGCTTTACGTATTAGAGTCTTTCATAAAAGTAAGAATAGCCACTCTCCAACATGCAGATAGTATGTGTATGTGTTTGTACACACACACAAACACATATACATATTGGAGGAATGTCTTTGAACCTAATAATCCAATTCTGTGAAGCTCAAAGCCTGAATAATTTCTAGGATTCTTATTTTCCAGAAAGATTTTTTAGTTAGAAAAATAGGCTGAGATGGTTAATGGACTATGACATTTTCAAAGTTCATTACCCTCCCCCAAGTTTTACAAATATTGGATTGTCGAAAAAGTCGTATTTTTTTCTATGTTTTGAAGAAAAATGTGTCATGACTTTTCCAATAGCCCAATAATACCCATTTCCTCAAACCAAGAAGCACAGTGTGATTCAAAGGTGGTTTATAGGATAAGCACAGAATTTTTTTTTTGTTCAAATTAGGATGCTTCTGAGGGTGCAAGAAGTGTGTTGGGAAAACTGATGTAAACTTAACAATACTTCACTGAGGAAGTGCTTTAACTTCCCCCAAACAAAATTAATCTCTCTGCCTGTTCTTGATGAAAGATAGCTTGGCACTATTCTGGCAGTCAGGTCCAAGGAATAATCTGGTCTCTAACATCTAATCCCCCTTAGGTTGGACATTAGGAGCACCCTCTTGCTACTGAGAGAAAGAGATTGTAACTTTTTTTCAACAGAGTCTGCAGGTATCTGAGAAAATAGTATAATTGTTTATATCAAAATCATCCTACTAGGGATGGGTCAGATGATATATTGAAGCATCTTTTGGAAAAATAAAAATTAAGGGCATAGTACTTGGTCCTGAAGACTTCAGTTCTTTTTCCACCAGAGAACAAGGGACGGTAAGAAAAGCACATTTCTTAGCAGAGACCTTAAAATCACCGTGGGTAATGAGAGGCCCTAGGGAAGAAAGACAAAGAGGGTCCCTTACCTATAGTTGGCCCAGAAAAGGCCTTACCATCACTACTAGCAGGCAGCTTCCCTCCACCTACCACTCTCCTGGCTGACCCCACCCCAGGCCAGATCTCCCCAATACTATGTGCTTACTATTGCACAAGGCCAGTGTTATTCGAAAAGAGAAGAATGTTCACCCCTGCCTAAAATGAAATTTTCTGGGTGAGAGAAAAGGTCTAAAGGTAGCCCCAAGAGATGCAGGTGCCCATACAGTGCCCTTTGTTTTGTTTGCAAGCAGTTCTGGAGAAGAGACAGGAAGAACCAGATAAGTCCTCTGTGTCTAACCCTATGACCTGGGGTTTGAAAAGGTGCTTTCTTGTGGAAAAACTGTAAATTAGGGAGCTAATAGGCAACTATTCAGAGGAGGTAAAGGGGGGAAATTAAAGAAAAAAAAAACTTCAATGTCCAGCCTTGAAATCTCTAAGATGGAAAAGAAGGGAAGCCAGATGACCAGTTCCTTAGAGTGTATCATCTCCATTCTCTAGCAGCCACTTTAGTCTTTCTCTCCTTTCACCTACTGCAAGCAGAAACACTTAAATAATGTAAGTGCCACCAAAAAAGCAAGTTTAAAGATAAGGTAACACAGACCAATTAGAATCTCCTTTTCTCCCCTTACTAAGGGATTTAGAGGGGGAAAAATTCTCTAGAACTGGATTTAGGAAAAGCAAAACTGCAGCAAATGCTTCTTTGCTTAGGTTCGTCCCTCTCCCAAGCTAATACTCCTGGGAGATTGAGAACACCATAGTGATCTGTCAGAACTCCATGACCACATATTTGAGTGTTTAAGGCCAGCACTTATCACTTTCTCATCTCTCTTTTCCCACTCCTAAACGTAGGCAACACCTGTCAGCTCACTGGGTAGTTTACAGGTAATCAGAAAATTGCAGGGGGATAAAAAGAAAAAAAGAGGAAAGAGACAGAGTAAAACAGATAGAAAGAAGCAGTGTTCTGCAGTTAAATTTGGCAACACATTGTTATAGGCTTGTGTGTGTCTGAATGTGTGTGTTTGTTTTAGAAAGCACTGATGCATTGAAGATTTATTCACTGAACAGGTTGATTTATTTTACAGCCTTGACATATATCAAATTCTACCATGTGCTTACATACTTGTTACCCATTTATCAAAGCTGTTATTTAGCCAAATATTTGTTTTAAAAGTATTTTCCTTTCAATGACTTTCTTTAGCCCACCACATAATCAAGTGCAAAAAGTCAAATTTTAATTACATTATGTTATGTTAACAACAGCGATTTGGTGGCAGTCTCTGAAACCTAATCCAGTGTCATTTCATCTCCACCCAAAATCTATTCCTTTTTTCCCTAGTAAAAAATAAATTACTGTTTAAAATCACCTTATAGGAAAAAATAGAAAACTATGCACAAGGTCCTTTCATGTTATGGTATTTTACACTCTTGATTTTTAAAAAAAGTAGTTTCTCAACATATTGTTAAAAAATACAGACCTGAATACCGCTAACCTAAAAAACCTGGCTACAGGGACAAAAGGATATGATTTTTGTGTATGAGTGTGTGCAGTGTGGGAGGGCAGTGAGACCACCTAGGGGAGAACCAGGTAAGAATATCAATAACAGAAAGTAAACGGAGTCAAAATTGAAGTCTTAAAAAATTGTTGAATCACCCCTGCCCCATCTAAACACATATGTACAAAAATAATAATGTATTTTTCAACTCAAATGCATGCAGTCTAACTAGATTCTGTGGATGTAAAATACTGGAAGGTATTCCCAAGAAAAAAAATGTCTAATCACTAACTACAGTGGCTGGTTTGAGTCCCACTATTGTAAATACTCCATTTGCAAAAGCAAGAGACTCATTTTGACCTCCCAGGTCAAGGAGTGTGGGGACTAGGAAAGACTGAGTTGGGGAGCTGAGGGTGGAGGGAGGAAAGCTGAGAGGGAGGGAAATCCCACCACAAAGAAGTAAATGTTTGACCTAGTAAGCAAATACGTTTATGTTGTTACTGCTTGGTGAAATGTACAAGTCTCCTAGAAATTAGGCACTGTAATAAAAACGAACCAGCCCCAATTTAAATTGCTCACTAGACAGATGGTTAATTATATTCACAGCCACATATTTCGCTGGGATAGAGTTTCAGACACTCAGCCAGTTTTATTTGATTAGCTGGTTTCCCAGTTAATATGAAAAATGACAGTTACTTAGGGCTTTTTTGTTCCCTTCTAAAAATACGTTTTAAATAAGTGTAAATTCTTCTCAGCCATGAGAATGTCACTGCTGTAAATAAAACGTCTGGTCATATGTTACCCTGTGTCTAAAAGATGTAAGAAAGATTCATCCTCTGAAGCCCAAATGGTCTCTATAGTTCTGAGACGACCACTGGGACACCTTTTCCCACCAAGCAAAATATTTCAGGAACTCAGCATACTTGGCTCTTCTGCCGAAAAGAACCAAAGATACTCAAATCCTGGGTCGAAGTGCTTGAGATGCTTTCTCAAAAGCAGCCCTGGCAACCCTACACACAAATCGAGTCTTCTCCGGTAACAGTCTAGAAAATGGAACGTTAGTCAAAAGGCCACACAGCAAAGTGTGCGGCTGTGCACAGAATGCAACAATATGCTGGGCGCCAAACCCCAGACGCAAAATACGAACCCCACTTACTCCAAACCGCAACCAGCAGCCAGCTGGACAAAAACCAAGCGTGCTGGTGTCGAAAGGGGAGGGGGTGTCAATTTTTTTTTTTTTTTAACTTCGGAAAAGACAGGAAACCTTGCGCGGGTGATTCGGCCCCTCACGAATCAGACAGAAGCGGTCCTGCCGAAACCCCTGATTCCTCAGCTGAAGGGCGCCAAGTCGGCGACGGGTTCTCCACACTTTCCCCGCGCCCCGGCTCGCTCCCCGCGCCGGCAGGCGGCCTCCCCAGCCCGCGGGGGGAGGGGGCGAGGCCCGGGCGGACGCGCGCCGCAGGGCGCGGCGGGGACCCGCAGCCCTAGGGCGAGACTCGCGCGACCGCCGCCCAGGGTGGGAAGGGGCCGCGGGCCAATTTCCAGCCAGGTGAGGAGCCGCGCCAGGCTCCGTCAAGCCCTCTGCGTCCGCCGCCCGCGGCCCGAGGCGGGTGGCGCGCGCTCGGGCGAGCTCTGCGGCCGCCGGGGCAGGGCTGCGCGCGGGAGCCCCTCCGCGGCCGCCAGGTGGGTTTGCCCGCTCGCGCCGAAGCCCGCGGTGCGGGGCCCGTTACCTGGCAGGCTCTCCCGGCCGGCGGCCCGAAAGGAGGCGGCGCTCGGCCGGTCCCCGCTGCCCGGCTGCGTGCGTGCGAGCGAGCGTGCGAGCGAGCGCGGCGGCTCCGGCCCGCTGGTTTCCCCTCCCCCCAGCCCCTGCGCCAGCACCGAGGCCTTTCCTAGATTGCAGTGCCTGTCAGGGCTGCCGGCCACTCTCCCCGCGGCCTCGCTCCCGCGCACCCGCTCGCACACGCACGCCATCCTCACACAGACGCCCTCCCTGCCGCTGCCCCGGCCCCCTCCTCGCTCAGCTCCCCCCAGTTGTTCCACCCCGGCCGCCGCCACCCCGAGACCGCCGCGCGGCCGGCGTGAAGGCCGGGGGTCGGGGGGCCGGAGGGCCGCGCTCCGACTCACCTCGCGGGCCGACTCCCGGGGCGCGCGTCGCCGGCGGGCTCAGGCAGCAGGCGCCGGAGCCGGCGCGGCCGCAGTCAGGGCTGGGCTGCCACGGGCGCTGCAGCTGCTCGAGCTGCCGCCGCCGCCGCCGCTGCTACTGCTGCCGCCGCCGCGGCCGCCGCCTCTGCCTCAGCTCCATGCGCCGGGCCCCCCGGACGGAGGCGCCGCTCGCCCTCGCTTGCTCCCCGGGCGCCACCGCTCCCGCCGCGCCGGGTGGAGTGGAGCTGTCCGCTTCGGGCTCGGAACTCGCGCTTCCGGGCCGCCCGCCGCTCCCGGGCTTCGCGCTCGCGAGCACCCTCCTCGCTGGGGCCGGGGCTGCCGCTGGAGCCGGCTGCGTGCGCGGCGCCGGGCCGCGGCAGGGAGAGGAGGGCGACCGCTGCAGTCGCCGTCGCCGCTCGAGCTCCTGCTAAACGCTGCCACTGCCGCTACTGCTACTGCTGTGGCGGCGGCGGCGGCTGCTGCTGCTGATGCTACTGGTTTTCCTTCCCGTGTTCTCCCCCTGCTTCGTCCCCTCCTCCCTCCTTTCTCCTCCTCCTCCTCCTCCCCCTTCTCCTCCCTCCGCCGCTTTTCTCAGCGCCTCTGCGGGCGCTGCCTGGTCTCCTCTTCTCCCCGACCTGTCTCTGGCCATTCAAAAGGGTGCCCGGAGCGGGACTGCCTCGACTGCCACCATCGCCAATGTCCCTGCCATTGTTTCCTCCGACACGGCTGTTCCTGCTGGACGCGTCCCCCCGCCACCTCCCTGCCTCACCACAGCCCTCCCCCCACACCGTCTCCTTACCCTCTTGCGGGCCCCCTCCCACTCTGTCCGTCTGTCCCTCCCTCCCCGAGGAGCCCGGGAGCGCGCACTGCGTGGCCACCTGTCATAAAGGGCGCGCACCCCCCTTCGTCACCCCCACCCCTCCCCCACTCGCATTCTTGCAGCCCACCCAGTCCACTGCGCCACTGGCGCGTTCTTCTCCCGGCAGACACGCAGCTGGACCCCACTCTCCCACACCTTTTAGGGCGCCGTGTGTACAGGGCGGGGAGCTCTGAAGTTTGGGGAAGAATATGTCAATGGCTTCTTCCACCAAACAGCTAACCATTCCAGCCTCTACCCTTAACTTCACAGGCTAGGCCCCGGGAGAGTGGATCTCGTTGGAAAGATGGGCTGAAGGGCCATTCCCCAGAGAATCGGAGAGCTGTGTTTTGTGGAATAAAGGAGGCTCCAGGGAACCTGAAGATGACCGGGAAGGAAATGGGGTCTGAGCGACTGCTGTCGCTGAGCAGTCCCTTTGGTGCTCGTTTCCCTTCACACTTCCTGGAAAGCCAAGAGAAAGCCGCAAAGATTTGGAGAGCAACTTAGAAGGGACCATGAAAGGAGAGATCATTTAGCGTTCCTGGAGCCCTGGGTAGTAGTAACATTGGGGCCGAGCCCCTGAGACGACACCGTGGAGAGCCAGGGCGAGAAATGGAAAGCTTGGTGGTAGAAACAAAGGATAAAACTAAGCTACTTTGTGTGAACTTGTTCCAGCAAGCTATGGCCAAAGCACAGCTTCTCCAGTCAGGCAGTGCCTCATTTCAGGTTTTTCTGCTGCCGCAGCTGCAACCCCATTTTACTGCCAAGGTTCAGGCTTTGAGACCTGGCTTCTTACCATCACCCTCAATGGAGCCTCTATGGCCTCTCAAACACCACCTCCCCAATAATAGTACAGGTTGGGGAAGGGGCGGGTATTTCCCTATACTTGGCAAAATGAGAGAGACAAATGTTCCAGATATCCCATTGCCAATGAAGTCCGTATTGTCTTACCAAGTTTAAAGCAATGTCCATGGGTCTTTTATTCCTGAACTATAAAATGTCTGTCTGGTCACAGGACTCCCTTTTGCAGCCCCTCATATCCTTTCTGGGCCTTAGTTTCTCTTATTCCACCTGCTTGAAACACTCTTCTCCCTTTCCCCTCTCACTTTTTAATCTATCAAACCCATCCATAAATAATAGTTCATCCTTAAATAATCTACATTTGTGTCAGAGGCTGTGCTAAGCAATTTACTCAAACTGTTTTCTTTAATCCTCATGACAAACACAATTTTATGCTCTCATTTTACAAGTGAGAAAAATGAGTCACAAAGAAGTTAGGTGTACATATTGTGAGACTAGAAACAATATCTTCTTTATATTGCATCTTTCAGGCACCAGAATAAACTGTTGAAAAATAAGTTTTGACCCCTGCCCTCACATGTCTATTCGTATTAGAATACAATACTGTTTTAATTACTCTTGCTTTATAATATAGTTTAAAACCAGATAACATGATGCCTCCATTTTCTTCTTTTTTCTCAAAATCTCATTAACTATTACTCATGTTTTGTGGTTCCATGTAAACTTGACTATTTTTTGTTCTATCTCCTTGAAAATTATTATTGGAATTTTCATCGGAATGGCATTTAATCTATATGTTGCTTTTGGTAGAATAGTCATTTTGACTATATTAATTCTTCCCATCCATCACTTGTGTCTTGTTATTTCTTTTACAGTCTCAGACCACCTCCTTTGTTAAATTGATTGGTAGGTATTTAATTCTTTTTGATGTGATTGTAAATGGGATGATTTGCTTAGTTTTCTTTTTGCATTACTTGCATATAAGGAAGCAACAGATTTTTGTGTACTAGTATTGTAGCCTGCCACCTTACTGTATTCAATTAATATTTCTAATAGTTTTTTTTTTTCGGTTGCATCTTTAGGGTTTTCTACATATATTATTATATCATATGCAAATAGAGATAATTTCACACCTTTTCCAATCTGAATTACTTTCATTTCTTGTTATCTAATTGCTCTGGTTGAACACTCTAATACTAATTTAAACAGATGTGGTGAAAGCAAACATTCTTGTTTTGTTCCTGACCTTAGAAGAAAAGATTTCATTTTTTCACCACTGAGTGTGATATTTGTTCTGGATTTATAGTATACGGCATATGTAATGTTGAGGTATGTTCCTTCTCTAACCGTTTTATTAAGTGTTCTTATAAATAAGTGCTATGTCTTATTAAATGATTTTTTCTGCACCTATTGATATGACCATATGATTTTTGTCTTTCCTTTTGTTGATGTAGTATGTTAATAGATTTGAATATGTTACTTTTTATTAACATTGGTTTACAAATTTGTGTGTGATTCAGAGGTGTAGGATAACACCTCCTCAGATGTGTATTCCCACACCACACCCACCAATGCACCCACAGTCCTCCACCTTAGTCCACTGTGACCCCTCCCCACTTTCTTTTCCCTCCTCCCCCTCCTGTCTTATAGCATCAATTTTACCCATGTTGTTGCAAATGGCAAGAGTATTTCTTTTCTTTTTTTTAAAGATTTATTTATTTATACAAGAACCAGGGTACAGGCCAGATGTGCAGGAGGGTGAGAGGATTCACCAGAGACAGAGTGAAGAACAGAACAGACTGATGAAATACACTACTGAGGGCAGCAGCGGGCAAGACAGGAGAGGTCTGCTGCGCCATGTGGGTATTTCGCCAGCTGGCCGGGATCGAACTCGTGCTGCAAAGGCTGCAGACAGCTTCACAGTGCTACGCTCAACCACCTGCGCCACCAGGGGAGGCCCATATTTTCTTTTCTTTTCTTTCTTTCTTTTTTTTCTTTTTTAGCTAAGGAGATTTCCAGTCTACTTATATACCACATTTTTCTAATACATTTTTCTGTTCCTGGGCATGTGGGTTGTTTCCATACATTGGCTATTGTAAATAGTGCTTCAATGAACATTGGAGTGCATATATTCCTTTAAAGTAGTAGTGATTTTGCATTCTTTGTGTAGACACCTAGGAGTAAACTGTAGGGTCATATGGTATATCTATTTTTAATATTTGGAGGAACCTCCATAATGTTTTCCATAGGGCCTGGACCAGGTGACCAGGGTTCATTTTTTCCCTCCACATCCTCATCAAAACGTTTTGCCTCTGGTTTTTTTGATATGGGCCATTTTCACAGATGTGAGATGGTATGTCATTTTTGTTTTGATTTGCATTTCTCTGATAATAAATGATGATGAACATTTTTTTTCATGTGCCTGTTGGCTATCTGTAAGTTTTCTCTGGAGAAGTGTCTACTTAGCTCTTCTGTCCATTTTTTAATTGAGCTCTTTGTTTTCTTTTTGTTGATTTATATGAGTTCTTTATATGTCCTGGATATCAGTCCTTTGTCAGATGTATGATGTGTAAATATTTCTTTCATTCAGTTGGTGTCTTTTTGTTTTACTGATAGTCTCTTTCATTGTGCAGAAGGTTTTAGTTTGATGCAATCATGTTTGTTTATTTTTACTTTTATTTCTCTTGCTATGGGAAATAAGCCCACAAAGACAACACTGAAACCAGTGTCATGGAGTGTTTATGTTTTCTTCGATGTATTTTATGGTTTTGGATATTAATTCAAGTCTTTAATCCATTTTGAGCTAATTTTTGTGTAAGATGTGAGATGGTGATGAAGTTTCATTCTTTTGCATATGGCAGTCCAGTTTACCCAAAACCATTTGTTGAAGAGACCCCTCTTTCTCCAGTGTGTGTTCTTGGCTCCTTTGTCATAAAATGTATCAGTATGTGTGGGTTTCTTTCTCAGTTTTCAATTCTATTCCATTGGTCTGTATATCTACTTTTTTTCCCAATACCATACTGTTTTGATTACTATGCTTTGTAGTATAGTTTGACATCTGGGAGTGTGATACCTCCATTCTTCTACGACTGCTGTCATTGAGCAGTCCCTAAGGTGTTCATTTCCCTTCATACTTCCTGGAAAGCCAACAGAAAGCCGCAAAGATTTGGAGAGCAGGCTGCTTCGATTATTTGGGTTCTTTTATGGTTCCATATAAATTTCTAATGTTTGTTCTATTTCTTTGAAGAATACCATTGAAATTTTGATAGGGAATGCATTGAATGTGTGTATTGCTTTGGGAGGATAGCCATTTAAACAATGTTAATTCTTCCAATCTATTATCAGGGAATATCTTCCCATTTTTTATGTGTCTTATTCTATTTCTTTTAGCAATATCTTGTAGTTTTTACTGTATAGGTCCTTCACCTCCTTTGTTAAGTTTACTCCTAGTTATTTAATTCTTTTCATTGTGATTGTGAATGGGGGTTGTTTTCTTGATTTCTTCTCTTCTAAATCACTTTTTGCGTATGGAAACACAACTGATTTTTGCAAGTTGATTATGTAACCTGACGCTTTACTGTATTGACTTATTATATCAGTATTTTGGTGCAGAAGATCCTAAAGGATTTTCCATATATATTATCATGTCATCTACAAATATTGATAGTTTTATTTTTACTTTTCAAATTTGGATTCCTTTTATATCTTTCACTTGCCTGGTTGCTCTAGCTAGGACTTCCAATACTATGTTGAATATTAGTGGTGAAAGCAGACATCTCGGCCTCCCTGGTGGCCTCGGGGTTAAGTCTCAGTGCTATCACCACTACGACCTGAGACTGATTCCCAGCGAGGGAGCTAAACCACATATGGTGCAGCAGACCTCTCCTGTCTCACCTGCTGCTCCCCTTAGCAGTGTATTTCAGTAAATCCACCTGTTCTGCTCCCCATTCTGTCTCTGGTGAATGCCCTCACACCTCCCATACCTCTGGCCTACACCCCAGTTCTTTTACACAAAAATTTTAAAGAAGTAGATATCTTTGTCTCATACTGGATCTTGGAGGAAAACCTTTCAATCTTTCACCAGAGAGTAAGATGTTACTGTGAGTTTGCCATACATGGCCTTTAAGGCATATTCCATCCATTCCCAGTTAGAGAGTTTTTAAAATCATAAATGGATATTGAAACTTATCAATTGCTTTCTCTGCATGGATTGATATGATCATATGATTTTTATCTTTCATTGTGCTGATGTGATTGATGAATTACATTGTTTGGTTTTCAGATGTTGGATTATACTTGTGTCCTTGGAATAAATCCCACTTGTTCATTATGTAGGATCCATTTAATGCATTGTTGAATTTAGTTTGCTAACATTTTGTGAGGATATTTGCATCTATGTTCATCAGGGATATCGGTCTGTAATTTTCTTTGTAATGTCTTTCAGGTTTTCATATCAAAGTGATAATGGCCTTATAAAATGTGTTTAGAAGCATTTCCTCCTTCTCTATTTTTTGGGAGAGTTTGCAAAGGATAGTTAATCTTTGATGGTTTTGTAGACCTTACTAGTGAAACTTTCTAGGCCTGGAATTTTGCTTATTGGGAGACTTTTGATTACTCTTTTAATTTCCTTGCTTATGTTTTCTATTTATTCCTGATTCATTCTCAGAAGGATGTAGATTTCTAAGAATTTGTCCATTTATTCTAGG